TATCCTAGAATTCTCTAAAGACAAAATTTAAATGATGTGAAGTTCCTCTTCCTACCTCTCCTCTTAATCAGAAAATCTGGACCCAAATGTGCGACTTCTAGTGACCCACTTATATAATCCTCGTATCCTTTGCAACGTTACGAAAGAACCAGCTAACCATCCCAACGAAGCGTAACAAGCAGGCGTCGAAATGAGTGAAAAAACCTTCAGACGTAAGTGATTCAGTGATCTTATCATTACACAAGGTTCGAACCACGTCACGATCCATGGATGCAGGTACAGATGGATGTACGTATAAGTCAGTAGCGGTGAATTCCATGTTTTTCCTCGATCACGAGCTACGGCTTTCGTGAGGGCGCACACGTAGCCAGAAGGGGCTTAATAAACGTTATTGGCGGGGTCCTGGTTCGCTGTTAGGTGGGAGTTAAGGCCCAGAGCACATCCCACGGCCATCTATGGGAGCCTACCTTTCTCAGGGAGCGTTCTCTGGCTTACGTAAGCGTACGAACGCGAGAGAAGGATGGGTTTGTCGAAGGTGAAACGAGGACGAATCGTTGGATGAAGAAGAAAGATAGTTGGAAAAGGGAGCAAAGAGAGGAAAAAGGGGCATCGCAGACGAGAAGAGAAGGAGCCCCGGGGCTGTCTGGAATCTTCTCAAAATGATTCACAGCCTCCGGTAATTTACATTCGTTTGCGTGGGTGATCGTCGGAGGCTTGGGCTAAAGGGGGTGGGTGGGCGGCAGGGAGAAGGTCGGGGGCCGCCGACCATACTCTTCTCTTTGCCGACTGCCATCGAAAAGGTTAAACATACACCCACAAGAGGTCACGTAACCAACTAAGAGAAAGACCTAACTTCGAGCTACCTTCCTTCCTTTACCATCGACGCGATGCTGATGTACGCGCGCGTCCGATGCGTGTGATGCATCCTGTGAAAACTGGGACAGGCGACAAGAAGGATAACGGAGGTATATTAGGGACTGTTCACTTGCCGAGATTTAACGATGCGAAACAACCCAGAGAGCGTTCAGCCGTTGTAGGCTACCGGGCTGATGAAGGATTCAGTCTGCCTCCTCGAGGACTAGGTGCACAATGATCGTCGTTAACTCAGCGACCGACAGGGAAAGCTTTGTTTAACGCTCAATAGACTGTCCATACTCTCAATTAATTAACAGATTAAAATGACTAACGGTCAGGATGTTCGATTTTTACCACCTTTCCATGGAATACCGAAAGGTACGTTCGCGTAGGAGCAGCAATATTCTTGATTACGAGGAGGACCCGATAAGCCTCGAATAAAGTATCAGTTTTCAGTGGGCCGTATCAAGGCGCGAGATTTTATAGCGACGTTTCTCAATTCTCGTACACCCACCGGTTTCGCGGTGAATTTTCCATCCTGTATTTGCATATCAATGAAAAGCTACGTGCACGTGCGCGCGTAGGAATACGTCTTCGATTTAATTGCCACGGCTCGCGCGGATGACGTGCCGGCTCTGATATAAAATAAAATTCTATCCGCGAGGATGGAGGGAGGAGGAGGAGAGGACAGATAAAGAAACGAAGAAAAGAGACGGAGCCGAAGCAAGCGAGACATTCGCCTTGGGCAGAACACGACCCGTTTCAAAGACACGTAGGGCCAAACCAGAGGGCAAAGGGGAGAAGGGAATGGCTTCTCCCTAAAATATGTGGACCCACGGGCAACACTCGGACTCTCCTCGTTACATCCTGCTGAAACGCCTCGGGGTTATACTGGTCCGCCATGCCGCCAGTCTGTATATCGTATGATACAAAAACATCACATTATTTTCTTCTTTCTTCATCGTGAATCGTACCCTTCTATCCTTCTCTCTATCTCTTTTCTTGCTCTTCTCCGCGAACGAACGCCCCGAGGCATGTGACCACCATTATACTTTGCCTTCCTACTCCATCCCGACCTCGTCCTCTTCGTTTTCCACCTACTACTTCGTCGCTTCCACTTCGTATACCTCTTTTTCATCGCGAGGATCATGGATTCGTCGAAGTATTCGGAGATCATCGTCGGGAGATTAATTATTCTCGCGACAGAAGACGTTATTTATCAGATATCTCGTTTTGTTATTGAAATTTTCGTTAAATGCTAGCGAATTTGCATTAGCCTTGATTTTGGCGATATGCTAAAATGCTTAATGATTCCTAATTTGAAGAAGGGTTAAAATATCCGCTCTAGATCCCTCTCTGATCCAATTACAAATAAATCACGATTCGTGCAAACATTGATCCTCGTAAGTGGATCTAGCAAAGAGGACACGAACGGATCACCGTTCGATTTCACGAATCTTGAAACGTGAAGCAACAAGGATTCCTCGCAACGGGGTGCTGAATCTTTTTTATAGTTTCGCTTCGCTGATTGATTGTCCGGAGAGCAAAAACATACAAATGGCATCAACGAGATGATTCAGACGGATAACATTGTACGATCTTTCTTTCCAAGTGCGAAGAGACGAATGTATCACGAACCATCGAATCAACTACTGTCCCATAGTGATGGATCGATCGATCCTTCCACTCGATCGCCACATTCCCTGATAGATTTCAGTCGTGAGATTAGAGGAAAGGAAAAGAGCAGACGAAGTTCGTCTAGGAACGATTGCATCGTGCTTTCACTCGTCGCGTTATCTTTCTAATGGACTAAAAGGAACACCGTTTACCGCTAGTTCCACGGAATCTCGTGTATCCACGCAAATTTATTACCCACTTTGCTATTCAACTTTTCACTTGGACTAATAGATCGATGATTATGTACCTGCAATATTCGTCGAAAGATAAAATTCCTGGAGAACCTGATATTTAACTTACATACACGTTTCAGGTGATTAGAAATACTCGAGTAGCAATTAAATCTCCTCTCGTTAAAATAAATTTTTTAATTTTTAAAAATTAAAAATAATTTTTATCTGGAAGTACAGTAATGGAATTTCATTCTTTCTCTTTATTCTACTTATTTACACGTTAGTAAAAAAAACAACTTTCGTAATCAGGTCCCAACAGTTCCATAATTTTACCCTAATGGTAAACTTTCATCTCCACAGTAAAAGCGTACAGATCCCATAGTTGCCTCTTTCGAAATCTGACTTTCAAAATGGTCATTACCAGCGGGGCGACCGAGTACTTGCTCCAGGAGCTTTTAAACGCCTGTCGATTAGCAGTCTCTCGATCAAGAAGAGTGCTCCAGCACCGTAATCAACAGTGTCAATTCTCGACTTATCGTTCCAACGAAACGTCCGGCAATTTCTTCGAAATCCCTTCTGACCGAAAAAAAATCCGACGGACCGATATTTCCTTAATGCATTCTGTCGATTTCATCGCGAATCCAGAAGGCCTCGATTAGCGGATAAAATCGAGGTCTCGGACGAGCTCAAAAAGCGGAACGACAAAAACGAATCCGTGAACATTGGCCATCGTTTATATAGAAAGTTGAAATTTCGTTTCTCGAAGTTATCAACGAATGTTTTGAGATGGTAGAAAAAAAAGAGAGAGAAAAAAAAAATGAATCGCCGACTATGAGCGCAACACCCATGGATTTTGACGTAAAATGGCTGGTACACTCGCGTCACTTTGTCCCTGACGAAGTTAGCGTTTACGTATGCGAGCAGCATCGTCCGGTGGGTTTGGAAGTGCCCGAGGCATTTTGGAACGATGTTGTCGGCCGTGGCCGTTTTAGCCCCAGGGCAACTGGAATACGACAGACACCGGGGCCGAGCCGAGCCGAGCCGAGGCTTCCTTCCCTTTATATCGGCCCTCGCCAACTGCCCCATTATTCTCGATGGCCGATGGCCAATCGTATCGGCCAAGTACCAACTGTAACTTTACGAGCACGAGGTCTGCGTCGTGTAGGTCCGTTTGGAAAAGCTCCAGATGCGGTGCAAACGCTCATCCGTTTCGATCGCTCTTCACCTGGGCTATTTATCTTCCGTTTTCCTTCGACGTGACTTTGTTTTTCCATGATGAATCGGACAATAATGAACACGGAACGTTGGATAATTCATTATAGCATGCATAGAGATGAAGAAGTAAATGAACGGATGTCTGGTATAACGTGCATACTAAACATCTCATTAGTTAACTCGAACGAGGATTCATAAATTATTGCTATTATTATAACCTGAAGTGTGAACGGTGTATAAACGTCAGACTCATAGATAGTGCCGTTTATCTAATTTGTTTATCGGACGAATTATTTCTGAAGTGGACAGATTACTCGGATCTTTACTTGTATGAGATTAATCAAAAATAGAAATACTAAAAAGAATCTAACAAAAGTGGGTATTTGGAGGGAATTTTATTTAAAAAGTTACATAGAAAATCACGTAGCAATTCGACGGAGATCCAACTTCTCATACTTGAAGAGCATCAAAGTCCGCTCGAAGGGGTTAATGAAAAAAGCCCGCGGAGCTGCGTAACGATCGAAGAAGCGTAGAAGAAAAACAAAAGCATAGGAACGCGATAATCTAAACGAAAGAAGGTTAGATCCCTTTACGAAAGAGATCGAATCGAGGCGGCCGCGATACCTCGGGCGGCCAACAGGATGAAGTTGTTGTGTCGTTGATTAAATTTCATTTGCATCGCGGCAAAGTTGCGTCCCGGCGATCTAGCTAGTTGGATCGAGTGGAAATTACACGGTGAATACGACGTAGGAAATCCTCGAACGCCAGAGGGATCCGACGAGGATCGATCGTTGTTGAAGCGAGACTAATTAACGCTGGAGAAAAGAAGAAGAAAAAAAAGGAACGTCGTTGAAAATAATCATAATAATAATGACGATGATAATGGTAGATATCGAGTTGACCGGAGGGCGTGGACGGGGTTGCGAAGCCAATTGACACACGGTGGAATAGGGTGACCTCGGGGGTGAAGAGGATTGCCAGCTCAGGGCGCTTACCAGAACGCCTTAGGGTGCTCGAGCTCGGATGGGGGATCACGGCGCGGCGTGGTGGGGAAAGTAGCGCGAACGGTCTGACGCCGAGTGAGCCGCTTCAGTTCTACTGAAGCCGCGGTGACGCGCGGTTCGCGCTCTGTTTACCTGTCGTTTGAAAACACGTGAACCGTGACCACGTGGATCTGTGTGGGTGACACAGCGGCACGAATTGACGCGGTGAGTTTCGGAAAGTGGTGTATTACTATTTTGTGCGGATCTCGACAACCGTGGACACGAAAACAACCGTCAACCTGGAGCCCACGTGCCAGAAACGGTGAGCGTTGACATATTTATTTTATTGTCCATTAGAATGCGATATCAGGTGAATTTATATTTAATTGAAAATTATCAAATTATTAGAATATTTTTGAAACTCTTTAGATCGCATTCTATAGACATGTTTGTATTTATATTTTGTTTATATCAAGTAGAGTATAGTGGTACCTCGGTATACGTCTGCTTTGGAATACGTCCTGTTTGGACGTGACAAATTTTGCTCGCATATGAATTTTGCATCATTTTTAAATAATTATCTTAGAGAAAAAATTAAATGAATAATCAATTATATTCGGAGTTGATGTATTATTAACTGGACTGATCATACAAGTAAGGATATCATGTAACAAAATATGGGAAAGGTTGGTTTGGTATATGTCCTATTCGGTATAAGTCCGAACATCAGGAACAGATTAAGGTCGTATACCGAGGTACCAGTGTATTTACTTGGGGTACTCGAGTACCCCAATCTCTATATTTCGCTTTTGTATATTTCTAATAATTATAAATCATTAAGAAGCGAACGAAAATTAGATCATTTGCGAATAATGAATCTGCATGGTAATTAGAAACTCGCAGCACCACTCGTTCACTCATAATTTATCTAATTACTCGCTTTACTTCCGATTGCAATTTAATGTAGCCGGTCGTGATTAGAAGATAACAAAGTTACTTTGCCTCTCTTTTATTCGGTTTAACGAGGCTAAATACGTCCTTTGGTTAAACTTTATGCAACCACTCGTAGCTTTCACGTGTCGAATCTTTCTCTCCTGATTCTGATAGAGAGTAACGGCTTTATGTACTTTATTAGACAAACTTCGAATGATTATACAAAAAAAGCGAAACCAGGGAAAAAATTGTACGTGTATATTCATGGTGATTTCCTCGAATCATAGTGTCGAAATGTTGCGTGACAAATCGAACGTCTGTTCACGAACGTGGAAACGAAATAGCCGTTAATTAAGTCGCCGGGAAGCCGTCGAAGTTTAAAATGTCTCCGTAATGACAGCCCGCCACGCGAAATGACAGTCGAAACGAATTGATCCTGATTTCGAGCGAGTCCACCGCTCGGTAATATCCGTGTTCCCCTTTGATTGTATGTGAGATTTTTAAATTGCAAGGTGCTCGCGAGCAAGAAAACGGATGTTGGAAATATTGAATGTAATTGAAATGAAATGCATAAAATTCTCAGAGGTCTTATGATTGCACCTTGCAAGTCAATTTCACACCTTTTTTCTCTCGATAATTCACGTGGCTTTACCTTCTATTACTTTTTACGAATTCGCTTCCGTTTTGCTATTAAAATGAATTTTAATTAAAGTTAATAATAATTGAAATTTCTGTCAAGGATACAAAGTAACTTTCCTTTTAGTAATATGCAAGCGTTGAGAACACTTTCTTTCGCAAACAAATATGTTGCATTTTATTGCAACAAAGTGCAATATGCACTTTCACGTGAAGAAAAGATTATAATTGATTTGCAATATTTCAGTGCACTTACTTGTTCATTCTCAGAAAACTGAAGTTACAATGGAATTGCTCAATCCCAAGTTACATTCCATCATCATCGAACAATGCTTATGATCAATTATGCATTTCACGTTCCTTGCAATGACATATCGTGCCGCGACATGCAGAATCCGCTTTCGAGAGTTAATACAGTCCTGCAATAACTCGACACCAGGCTCTCCCGTTAGTTCAGGATACTTAACCGATTTGCAGTACGTGTTTGACCCGATATCGCTTTTTAGAAATATCAATAATGAATAAATGTCAATTGAATTTTTCCCGCGTAAACATTCCCGCCATAGACCTATATGTATGGAATCCTCACCCTTATCTTGTCTTTCTCCCTGGGGATATCTATGGGGAAGAACAAGAGCCCAGAACGTCACCATTTTTCCTGTTGAAACCTGATTTGATCGCGAGTGTGCTTTCTTCCAATCCTGACAAATATCAAACATCAATTTTCTCTTAAAACATCATAAATCTCGGATCTCGACATTCCTTTCAACGCGTAACGATGACGATGAATAAATCACGCGCTCCTAACTATCTTTCCTCGAAGAACCAATATAAAATCATATTTACACCGAGACCAAACATGTAAAATCGCGGATATAAATTTGGCCCTTTTTACAATCACTTTCCAATGGAAATTTCAGGTAAAATCATGAAAAGTTTCGTGATTATCCGGCGTTTACAAGAAGCGTCCGCGCGGTTACAAGCTCTTCAATTTTCTCGCGTGACGCGATCGGAGAATTACGATCGAAGCGTATCAAGCGAGGCTCGTCCGCTTTGATCAGCTTGCGACACGCGGCTCGCGCGACGATGCTCGTGCAGAGCAACGTTCCAGTTCGTTAAGGCTCGCTCGCTATCTGAAATAATTATTGGCCTGTCATCTTGGGACGTGCATCCGTGACAAAGCGAGGTAACGGTTCGCTTGGATGCCCACGCAGCATCGTAGGAAACACGTTTTCTCTCGAAAGCGTGGCAGAAAATGACGAAAGTCCCGGGAACGCGATTTATCTTCTGCCATGCGAAACGACGTGTTTTCCGCGTCGGGAACGCGCGCGTCCCTTTATCATCCTCCATTAATTTCATTACCGGCCAACAACCGAGACCGTGGTCTTATTAGAAAATGAACCCCATGAGCTTCTAGTTATTACTGCATGCAGACCCCCTTTTTAACCCATCAATATAGATTTTGATTTTTTAGGAAAATTTTCTCATTCTAATTGATAATATCAAGTTCCCTTATCAGGTTCCATTAATTTTGTTGCGTGCAATAACCGATATCGTAATCCTCAATAGTTGTAATTTTGTTTTTAAACTTTCAATATATATATTTTCATTTTTATACAAATTCTTTTAATTCTAATTAATAATTTCAATTACCTTTATTGGCATTCATTAATTTCATCAGGATCGTAGTTTTATTATAAAAGAAATCTCATGAGTTGTAGTTTTACTTGCTATTATCATTACATGGAGATTACTTCTAATTAATTAGTACCTATTAATTTGATTGTGATCAACTAACCAGATCGTAATCTTATTACAAAGCAATTTGTATAAGTTGAAATGCAGGTATCTTGTAGTTATTACAGTATGTAAATTACTTCATTTTTAAGCTTCGATATTGATGGCAATTTTTAACTGGTACTAATTGAACATCTGGGATTCCTGTATTAGCGCCTATTAATTTTCTAAAGCGTAATAACCTAATTAGTGCCTTAATATAATGTAATTGAATAATTATCGAAAGAAAATGGAACAAAAATTTTGAGTATCGTGCTAATAATATAAAGTAACAAATTCAAAGGGTAAATTAGAAAATTAATTATCCGTATCTTTAATATTAAAAATCTCTATGTCTGACCACACACGTCCGCTTCCACTGCGCCAGTCACCGTATCAATCCCCCACAGAATCAATTATTCTCATTTCAGTCGAAAAATCTCCCAAAATCCAAACTGTCGATTACATTAACTTTTGTTCAAAAACACGTGAAATTTCTCACACAATGGAGATCAACTTTCTCGACTGGACGTTCCCGAACCAAGTCTACTCTCTAATTAGCAATGACGCAACTGTCGATTATGTTCCCTTTCGATCACAAAAGAACATTCTCCCTTTCATTTCTTATATACCAATCTCAACTTGGATAGATACTACAATCTATAGATGATACCCGAGAAAGAACAAGTTGAGGTAAAGACAGAAAGAAAAACTGGCGGAGGGAAAACAGAGGGTGAGAGGAGTCTATAACGATTGGATTTCCGGCGGGATACGCAGCTGGTTTGAAATAACAGCTGGAATTTCATGATATCCGCGCGTCGCCTCGGAATCGAGGAAAAACACGAGGAGAGACGATGGTGGAAACTTTACGAAGCGGTTACAGGCGCCTCTTCTAGCTAGCTAGTCGACGCGTACTGATAGCGAGCGAAGAAGGAAGAGAAACAGGCCAGGATAGAGAAGGAGGCGTGAAGGGAGGAGGGATACACCACCGGCAGCGTTTTAGAGAACGGATGTGGAAGGGATGTGGACTCTGTGGAAATTGTGCTGGGGTAGGAAAACCGGGGGTTGGAAACTGACCCGGGGGATCGCCGCGGGCGTAGACGAGCTCTGCAGTTGCCGTAATTAGAACCGAGCGCCGCGGGTGTTTAGCTGCAGGCTGACGAGTCTCCTGCGGACCGAAATTATTCATGAACCACCGCCACCCAAGGCGAAATTTTCCCGTAAATATTTTCCCTTGTCCGAGATGTCGGGGCCACGCGTGTACGAGTGAACACACGCTCTCTGTGTCTATCTGTCTGTCTATCTGTACACCGAGGAGTTAGCTATGATCTAGTTTGCTACGATGTCCATTTTTTCTTTCTTGAGGTGTTGATGAATTATGTTCTATGGGTTTATATGGGGCGAGGTTATGATAAGGTTTTTTGTTCATTGAATGAGGAGATTTAACAAGGATGGATGATTTATGCTTGGTAAAAGGTAATCAGCTTCCATCAATTTTTAATTATAATTCATTTTTTTTCTATTTACTCAATGAAGTTGAGAAGAAAACAGACCATAAAAGACAATATCCATGATTAAGCTGAAATGAAAGTACAACCTGAACGATCGTTACAGGGTACCTACTTAATGAGCGCGATCGCGGGCTGATTTTTATCGTCGGTATCGCAATAAACCAATTTCTTACTCTATCAATCGAGTTTTACGATCGATGTAAATCGAATAGGAACGTTACCGTGGCCTTATTTCGAATTTTACATGGTGTACCAGCCTTAACGTTCGTTGGTTGGATAACAAGAACACGCCCATTTAATTATCATGTATCTCGATAAGGATTCGATAAAATTTCAATACGGTGCAATTAAATCGATCGAGCGTTATTAATAAATCAATTTACGAGTTAAATTACAATCCCCTCCTATCGAAATTACCATGAAAGTTCAACGCGAATAAGTTTCTCGCATAGTGCAATTCGCTTAG